TACCAATCCTATACCATGCTGTAGTTTATCATGGATGCCACACACAGACCACTGATATACCATCCTATACCATGCTGTAGTTTATCATGGATGCCCCACTCAGACTACTGATATACCATCCTATACCATGCTGTAGTTTATCATGGATGCCCCACTCAGACCACTGATATACCATCCTATACCATGCTGTAGTTTATCATGGATGCCCCACTCAGACCACTGATATACCATCCTATACCATGCTGTAGTTTATCATGGATGCCCCACACAGACTACTGATATACCATCCTATACCATGCTGTAGTTTATCATGGATGCCCACACAGACCACTGATATACCATCCTATACCATGCTGTAGTTTATCATGAATGCCCACACAGACCACTGATATACCATCCTATACCATGCTGTAGTTTATCATGGATGCCCCACTCAGACCACTGATATACCATCCTATACCATGCTGTAGTTTATCATGGATGCCCCACTCAGACCACTGATATACCATCCTATACCATGCTGTAGTTTATCATGGATGCCCCACTCAGACCACTGATATACCATCCTATACCATGCTGTAGTTTATCATGGATGCCCCACTCAGACCACTGATATACCATCCTATACCATGCTGTGCTGTAGTTATCATGGATGCCCCACTCAGACCACTGATATACCATCCTATACCATGCTGTAGTTTATCATGGATGCCCCACTCAGACTACTGATATACCATCCTATACCATGCTGTAGTTTATCATGGATGCCCCACTCAGACTACTGATATACCATCCTATACCATGCTGTAGTTTATCATGGATGCCCCACTCAGACTACTGATATACCATCCTATACCATGCTGTAGTTTATCATGGATGCCCCACTCAGACTACTGATATACCATCCTATACCATGCTGTAGTTTATCATGGATGCCCCACTCAGACCACTGATATACCATCCTATACCATGCTGTAGTTTATCATGGATGCCCCACTCAGACCACTGATATACCATCCTATACCATGCTGTAGTTTATCATGGATGCCCCATTAAGACCACTGATATACCATCCTATACCATGCTGTAGTTTATCATGGATGCCCCACTCAGACTACTGATATACCATCCTATACCATGCTGTAGTTTATCATGGATGCCCCCACTCAGACTACTGATATACCATCCTATACCATGCTGTAGTTTATCATGGATGCCCCACTCAAACCACTGATATACCATCCTATACCATGCTGTAGTTTATCATGGATGCCCCACTCAGACCACTGATATACCATCCTATACCATGCTGTAGTTTATCATGGATGCCCCACTCAGACCACTGATATACCATCCTATACCATGCTGTAGTTTATCATGGATGCCCCACTCAGACCACTGATATACCATCCTATACCATGCTGTAGTTTATCATGGATGCCCCACTCAGACCACTGATATACCATCCTATACCATGCTGTAGTTTATCATGGATGCCCCACTCAGACTACTGATATACCATCCTATACCATGCTGTAGTTTATCATGGATGCCCCACTCAGACTACTGATATACCATCCTATACCATGCTGTAGTTTATCATGGATGCCCCACTCAGACTACTGATATACCATCCTATACCATGCTGTAGTTTATCATGGATGCCCCACTCAGACCACTGATATACCATCCTATACCATGCTGTAGTTTATCATGGATGCCCCACTCAGACCACTGATATACCATCCTATACCATGCTGTAGTTTATCATGGATGCCCCATTCAGACCACTGATATACCATCCTATACCATGCTGTAGTTTATCATGGATGCCCCACTCACTGATAGACCACTGATATACCATCCTATACCATGCTGTAGTTTATCATGGATGCCCCACTCAGACTACTGATATACCATCCTATACCATGCTGTAGTTTATCATGGATGCCCCACCATCAGACCACTGATATACCATCCTATACCATGCTGTAGTTTATCATGGATGCCCCACTCAGACCACTGATATACCCTATACCATGCTGTATCATGGATGCCATCTCTATATACCATCCTATACCATGCTGTAGTTTATCATGGATACCCATACCCCACTCAGACTACTGATATACCATCCTATACCATGCTGTAGTTTATCATGGATGCCCCACTTAGACTACTGATATACCATCCTATACCATGCTGTAGTTTATCATGGATGCCCCACTCAGACACTACTGATATACCATCCTATATACCATCCTATAGACCACTGATATACCATCCTATACCATGCTGTTTATCATGGATGCCCCACTCAGACTACTGATATACCATCCTATACCATGCTGTAGTTTATCATGGATACCCCACTCAGACTACTGATATACCATCCTATACCATGCTGTAGTTTATCATGGATGCCCCACTCAGACCACTGATATACCATCCTATACCATGCTGTAGTTTATCATGGATGATACCCCACTCAGACCACTGATATACCATCCTATACCATGCTGTAGTTTATCATGGATGCCCCACTCAGACCACTGATATACCATCCTATACCATGCTGTAGTTTATCATGGATGCCCCACTCAGACTACTGATATACCATCCTATACCATGCTGTAGTTTATCATGGATGCCCCACTCAGACCACTGATATATACCATCCTATACCATGCTGTAGTTTATCATGGATGCCCCACTCAGACCACTGATATACCATCCTATACCATGCTGTAGTTTATCATGGATGCCCCACTCAGACCACTGATATACCATCCTATACCATGCTGTAGTTTATCATGGATACCCCACTCAGACCACTGATATACCATCCTATACCATGCTGTAGTTTATCATGGATACCCCACTCAGACCACTGATATACCATCCTATACCATGCTGTAGTTTATCATGGATGCCCCACTCAGACCACTGATATACCATCCTATACCATGCTGTAGTTTATCATGGATGCCCCACTCAGACCACTGATATACCATCCTATACCATGCTGTAGTTTATCATGGATGCCCCACTCAGACCACTGATATACCATCCTATACCATGCTGTAGTTTATCATGGATGCCCCACTCAGACCACTGATATACCATCCTATACCATGCTGTAGTTTATCATGGATGCCCCATTCAGACCACTGATATACCATCCTATACCATGCTGTAGTTTATCATGGATGCCACTCAGACCACTGATATACCACCACTGCTGATATCATGGATACCATGATATACCTATACCATGCTGTAGTTTATCATGGATGCCCCATCAGACTACTGATATACCATCCTATACCATGCTGTAGTTTATCATGGATGCCCCACTCAGACTACTGATATACCATCCTATACCATGCTGTAGTTTATCATGGATGCCCCACTCAGACCACTGATATACCATCCTATTCTATTTATCCATGCTGTAGTTTTTATCATGGATGCCCCACTCAGACTACTGATATACCATCCTATCCCATGCTGTAGTTCATCATGGATGCCCTTCTAAGACCACTGATATACCATCCTATACCATGCTGTAGTTTATCATGGATGCCCCATTAAGACCACTGATATACCATTCTATACCATGATGTAGTTTATCATGAATGCCACACCACAGACCACTGATATACCATCCTATACCATGCTGTAGTTTATCATGTATGCTCCATTCAGACTACCGATATACCATCCTATACCATGCTGCAGTTTATCATGTATGCTCCATTCAGACTACTGATATACCATCCTATACCATGCTGTAGTTTATCATGGATGCCCCATTAAGACCACTGATATACCATCCTATACCATGCTGTAGTTTATCATGGATGCCCCACTCAGACCACTGATATACCATCCTATACCATGCTGTAGTTTATCATGAATGCCCCACTCAAACCACTGATATACCATCCTATACCATGCTGTAGTTTATCATGGATGCCCCACTCAAACCACTGATATACCATCCTATACCATGCTGTAGTTTATCATGGATGCCCCACTCAGACTACTGATATACCATCCTATACCATGCTGTAGTTTATCATGGATGCCCCACTCAAACTACGGATATACCATCCCATTCCGTGGTGTAGTTTATCATGCATGCACACTCAGACCACCGGTACACCATCCTAAACCATGCTGTAGTTCATCGTGGATACCCCACTCAGACACAGTAATCTGATTCACATCGAAAGATGGTCGTTTTTTGCGGCTCACACACACACACAACACACACACACACACACACACACACACAACACACACACCAAAAAAAACACACACAAAAAAACATCAACACGCACACAACCAACTCACACACACATTCAGTCAAATTGGGAGAAATGGAGACAGAGATGGATGTGCGTATGAGTCTGGTTGTGCTAATATCTGTGACACCACTTATCCCCACCTCACCTGGAGGTATGAGCCTGTTCAGACCTGTGTTATCATCCATGCTGAGACACATTCAAGCATTTGGTTTTCATTGTAATCAGGACAAAAGAGACACCAAAGGAGCTTCACAAATCTGATTAGGTATCTTCAAAAGAAACATACATTTTCCCCAACAAACAATGAGGCAGACTCAAGGTTATGTCACACAAATCATGATGCATCGATGATTACTAGTATATTGTTTAGACACGACTTCGGAGTAAAGAAGCAAACCCTTTGTTATAAATAGTGACTCATCTTAAATACAAGGATCACTAAGTGGTTCGCCCAATAAATGCACTGAAATAACCTAAATGGTAAATCATAGAATGACGGAAGAGGTGTGGCTTATTGACGTCAGTTTTGTCAACAAAAGGTACATTGGGTACACTTTATGTAACTAGGTACAAAAGTACTCTTCACACACATCTGTCGGTTTACATTATAATGATTATGCTTTTATCTATTTGATCTACAATGTTTGTGCAGATATTCCCAAATACTTTTATTGTTCTTCTTTTAAGGAATTCGCCGTTTTTCTGTTGATGTGGAATATATGCTTGGCAGGCAACCACCTGTCATATACAAAATACTTTGCTGCTTCGTTACACCTGCGCTCCTTCTGGTAAGTTCACCCGTGAAGGTCCGGGTTAGAATTGGTCTTCAACAACCCATGCTTGTCGTAAAAGGCGACTGAGGAGATCGGGTGGTCAGGCTCTCTGACATGGCTGACACATGTCATCGTATCCCAATTGCGTAGGTCGATGCTCATGCTGTTGATCACTGGATTGCCTGGTCCAGACTCGATTATTTACAGATCGCCGTCATAAAGCTGGAATATTGCTGAGTGCGGCGTTAAACTAAATTCACGCACTCACTCACTCACTCACTCACTAATAATATATAATGCATCGAAGAAAATGTTGTCTATTTTTTTACAGTTGCTCCACTTGTGTGCCATTTATTTTTTAATGCATCTCTCTCCACAGACTGCCCTTATTGTAACACTGATCACCTTTAAATCACCTTCATACGGGCACTACATGTACCCACCTTTCTGCGTCTTGATTGGTTGGTTCATCGCTGTTGTTTCATTGGTGCCTATCCCAATTACTATGGTGATTCAGGTCGCAAAACGACAAGGCTCATTCCGTCAGGTAAACATGTTAGAGTTCAGTGAGTTCTGTGATGCATGTTGTTGTTTTTTATCAAAAATATATTCGGTGAATAATAAATGTGTTCCGTTTTGTGAGTTTATACAACCTCCGCAATGTGTTACTTTCCTCAACAATCTTACTCCTAAATTTTTTAAACTGTTAAAATAACGCTCTTAGCAGTTTCTCATTCATGCACATGGCAAAAAACTAAAAAGCCAGAATATTGTTGTAAGAGTTTGTATACCAGCGGTATATCTGTTTCTTTTTTACAGAGAATGAAACTGTCATTAGCTCCTGATTCGGGATGGGAACGTTCCACACAATGTATCAGGGCTGAAGAGTATGACCTTTGGATCGGAGAGAAAATTTCCGTCCTTGAAAATGCACGTTTTATATTTACAAGGGAGAAACCTGTGTGATGTATTTGTTAAACGGACCCATCATTTTTACGCAATGACAACTTTTATTTGTCTACGCCTTTCTGGAGCAGCAGATCGCGGAGACCCAGAAATTTGATCTGGAATCGACTATTCGTGGAAAGACGTACAAACATTGATGACTGAAACGGCTCGGCGGGGATGACTGTCAATTTGCTGAGACCCTCCTGAAAAAGCTCATAAAGTTCAGAGTGGTGCAAATGATTTCACTATCCAAATGGCTCAGTGACGCTCCTGCACTGACGCTGTATCTGCAATATATAGTGTTGACAATGTTGGAAGGATACATGCCCACAGTCGCCCTAAGAGTCTACTCCTTTAACACAGCAAAACAGGCACGACTCTTGCTTTCACTTCTCATTATTATTCCTCTTCAGGGAAAATTTGAGTGACAAATGTCAAGCGCTGTGTCAAAACAAATGCACAACATGTTTATTTGTTAAAAAAAACAAAACACATACACACTGAAATCGACGCTGTTCAAATTATACAATGCATCCAGGTTTAACATGCGTATGTACTTTGCATCATCAGACAAATATCAACATTTACTTTGAAACGTGTAGATGTATTTGTGGGTTTTGTTTGTTTATTTAGAGTGGGGATTTTACACCAAGCTCTTTCTATAAGATATCATTGTTACGGATTCCTAGGTGTATGAATTAATTTTTTAGCAAACGCCTATATGTCTAATGAACAATGAAGGAACTAACAACGAGGACCGCATACATAACATGAAGCAAATACTTGCCATGTTTTATTTTCGTGAAGAACTGCAGCTTTCTTATATCCATTCAACCAAATCCGTTAACTGTTTTGGGGCATGTAGTTTTGGCTCAATTATCCACTGAAGCCTTAGCATTACGTTTCTGTAGTTCGGAGTTCCAAAAAAAGAAACGCATAACCCAGAAATCTGGTGCAAAAATGTATTTTCAAACATGTCTAACTCGTCCACAAACAGACTTTAGTTCATGAATTTTACATCAGTTTAGAAGAAGGTAATGTCTATACAACCAAATTGATAATTTTAGATAACGGAGATGCATGGTCCCGACGTCGGGTCTCCTGGCTCTCAGTCCATTCTCCCTCAACCTGTTCCGTTCAGTTTGACCGGATATCCTCCAAAGTCCAGGCACCCTGGCTGCTGTGCCTCACCCGTGGCGGTACGATCACGCAAATGTAGTACCCGGATGTACCGATCTTGGGCTGCAGTGGTGACTAGAGATCTGCCTGTACGGGGACGGTCATTTGTTATACCTGCTTGGTTGTAACGAGCTAGAAGCAGTGATATCGTGCTCAGACTAATATTCAGACGCCTAGCCACAGAAAATTGGTAATCTCCAGCGTGCATTCTTTCAATGGCGACGTTCCGTGTCGCAGCGTCAGGACGTGGCTTAGTGATTTGAACTTGAAACTCCTTCAAAACGAATGCCGATTTCCGAAAGTAATCTGGATTTTTATAGGCAGACAGTGCATGCTCTTTGCTGCACAATGTCAACTGGAAGGTGATTTCTGTTTCGTTGTGGCGATGCCTATTCAGTTCTTGTAAGAAATCTCATCAAAATCAACATTTTCAGGTAAAGTCGATTTATCACTTGTGCAATAGTATAAAATCATGTTATCAACACTTTTGTTACATATTTTGACGAATCTTTGAACGCAATTGTTAATAAATAGATTTTTTAAAATACAAAACGCCTATGCGTTTCTTTTTTGGGATAGTATATTATTTTCTAATCGTTCCGACTCCTTAGCATTAAGTACGTTCAAGTTTTACATAGCAAGAGCAATATTTCACTTCATTGCGACAATATTGGACATTTTATCATGGTTAAAAAGAGTTTTTCTACGTATTGTTGTATTTGATGTTGTACCACAGAGGTTTCAAGAGGTTGTCATAAATAGGCAAATTTAAACACACACATATGGAGCAATGAGATATGACATCACATGTTCTTATTGCATCAGCTCTAACAAGGCAACATCATGCGTATGGAATATGGTTTTATGAAAATAAAATCAAGATATTTATAACAATGAGCAATCGGTCTACCTATTGGCGGTTAATCCTTTGAAGAAAGGGTGTTGTGTTTACACGGACACTTTGTTGTATTCTTCTCACTTCTCTGAGAGGCATTTGTATTCAGTATGCGTCTAAAGCCGCAAAATGCAGCCGGAATGTAAATAAAGTTCAGACCAGTTCAAGTAAATCTGCCAACATAAACATTTGACAAATCCGCTGTTCCAGATAAAAGTAAGTGATCAGTCAAAATGTGATCGGTTAATCACTTCATCGATGTTGTTTTTTTTACCTCAACTGATAATTGTTCTTGCTGTGCTTCCACGTCCATATTACACAGCATCAAAGGCATTTGCCACATCAGACCTGAATTTATAAGACTGAGTATTTACCCCAGACACGGGACATGCTCAAGGGGAACCTTTGTGAGGTATTCCAAATGGTGTTGCTACTAATCATCAATCAATCACATTATTACATGACAGGATCAAATATAGGGGCAAACAAAACCTGAAATAGGATCAACGGATTGGCACTAATGTACATGAGTGTATTTCTATAACATTTCAAAACATACCCAAACTAGGCATGTATAAAATTGTAACCAAATGATTTAATTCAGTTGGAATCACTGGATTGTCTCGTCCAGGCGTGAATATATACAGACTGCCGCCATATAGTTGGAATATTGCTGAGTGCTTTGTTAAACAAAAAAAAGAACCAACATTTCTTAGGAGACATACGTCTTTGCCTTTCTTCAAGATTCCGAAAGCTATTAATTGTCATTGATGAAGTCATGATTACACTGGGTTTGTTTTTCGTTCCTATTATTGTTACGTACGCATTTCTTTCCATTTTACAATGACGTTGACGTTTTCAAAACACATTCAGCATTTGTTTTGGTTTGTTTCTTTTGTTATATTCACCACAATGCCTTGCGACGTCGCATACAGCAGGTTCATGAAATTTCAGACATGTGTCAACCAAGCCAGCGACATTGACCACCCAATCCTGTTAGTCTCCATTATAACCCAGATTCTCGCTAGGGGTTGTTTAGTGGGATGTGAGGATGTACGAAACGTATAGCTGGACTACTACCGAGGAAAACCATGAAACAAGCAACAACACACAGGTAAAAAATATGGTGACATATGCTAATGAGCTGTAATCAAGTAAGATGATACGTATGGAATGCGTTTCAGTGACGATAAAGGCTAAATAATTATAATGTAAACCGACAGGTGTGTGTGTGACGAGTACGTATGTACCTGGTTGATTTAAAACTTTTGCAATTGTTGCTTGACCTTCAGTTTCTCTCGAAAATAATCCACTGGGATAAAGCTGAAAGTAATTAAGCAAAGTGTTTATCTTCCCCGAAGCGACTAGAACACAAACATCCACATGACATTTATGAACTGAGCATTATTTGCGAGATGTGACTTCGTTTACAAACTCTGCGTGGATAAGGGGTCGATAGACAGACAAAATTAGCTGAATGCCCTAATATTTCTACTATATTTCACATTGTTTGAATGAGCATGGACTCTCTGTCAGACTGAAAGGAATATAATGACACACAAGTCATTGATTCTGCTTGTGTTCGCTAAGTATTCCATACACATCTGATCATCGGTTTTCCAATGATTTATGTATCTGATAATGTAATGGAAATATTGAATTTCTAACGTTTGAAACACTTTTTTACAGAGCAAGCTGACCTACTTATTTCTAACGGTATGTGCACACATGGAAATGTATTTTGTTTTGTTTGATGTCGTTAAGTCCTGACGTGACATAAACACCTGCCAGGATATTGGTATGAGTGGTGCGTGTGTGAGTGAGTTAATATCTAGCGTCGTTTTAAACATATTATATTCACAGAGAAAAAGGATTAGGAACAATGTTTTTTAATCTAGCGTCACATCACGAATATTTCAGCCATATCATGACGAGAGAGAAAATACATTGAAGATTAATGCATTTTGAAGATAAAAACCTGTCGTAGATGGAGAGTAAAACAATCAAAGTTATTCATTCATTCTTCCAAACAAAAATGTTTAACAACTATTTACAATACATACGGTTATCAAAATGTATTAATCGATTCCATATCTTTTAAAAACCAATTACTAAATACTAACTGATGTTGGTATGGACATTGATGTAAATATGCATTTCTACATTTCCAAACATTTCCATACTAGGCATAAATGTAAATTAACATAAAATGCCGCCACGATTCCTAACGTCACGATGTTTTGATGTCATGTAACACCCTGACACAATACACTTTTCGAAAGGCAAACAAGAGTGAAAACATTAAGAATCATTGAACTCATTTCGATTGATATTCTAGGAAGCTTTGAGAAAATGCTCCATGATAATGGTCTTGTTTTAACAAGCACCACAACTTCCTCTTTTATGAAACAAAACCCCGTGACGATCCGGGTTAGAATTGGCCTTCAGCAACCCATGCTTGTTGTAAGAGGCGACTGACGGGATCGGGTGGTCAGTCTCCCTGACTTGGTGGGCACATGTCATCGTAGATCGATGCTCATGGTGTTGATCACTGGATTGTCAGGTCCAGACACGATTATTTACAGACCGCCGCCATATAGCTGGAGTATTGCGGAGTGACAAATATACTCCGTTACTCAACTCCAAATCGGTTCATGATCAAACCGTCATTTCAACGCAGCTTGTCATGACAACGTCAGTTTAACTCTGGGAAAAAGTTTTATAACTAAATAAAAAGTTTTATAACTACTACTTAACAAACTATCATCATTTTGTTTTGATTTTCCGTATGAAGTTTAACGATGGTAAAGTAACAGTAAACTATTGTAGGAACAGACTCAAGGGCGGGAAGCACGAGCACATCATTGTGACGTCACATCATGCGTAACCAATCGATTTATGGACACAGTACATGAGACAATGAAATTCAACTCTGACATCAAGTCCATTATAAATCCAGGTAAATATACGATTTCTATTTGAAAGTTGTGTCTTTCAAATACATATGAAAGGTGTCATCCCTTTACAAGCCCTGGGTATGTTCTGCAATGTCTTTCCCCAACAACACGCAATTGTGTGTTCACCCATAGCAACAAGCCGCGAGCGAATGGTGCCGCATCTGGTGATGGCTGGTATGAAGGAGGTGTCTCAGATAGGTATTGATGGATTGTTGATGGATAAGTAGGAAGACCCCATCTTTCCTTAACATCAAGGTAAAACGGGCTTAACTTTGAGCAAAGTGTTTGCTGTAAATGCTTTTGAGATGCCATACGGGGATCAAGACAATCGGTTAAATACGGGGCTTAACTTTTACCTTTGTCAATTTAGAAAGGATAAGCGAAACAATTTAAACCTGGTAAATGTCAAACAATTGTTTTGGAAAAGTTTTTACGTCTAGATTGT